CCACACATGCTTACGACTACCGGGAGTCACAGAGAAGACAGACAGAAACAGAAGCACTCATTCAGAAGACGATTAATGCATGAACAGCAGCAAGTGTTATATATAATGTGAGAATTCTCACCAGGACTGGAAGTGTAAGCCCAGGCTTCAGGAAGGAGGTGGAGAAACACGTCACCTAGGAGACTACCAATGGCAAAACTCAGTAGCTTCTTCAGCTTCTGACACCCAGCTGCAAACAGTGCAAGAGCATCAGCAGAAGTTCATAAACAAACATGAGCAGAAATGCTTCATATGCAGCACTTCAAAGATCTTGCCGTGCTAACCAAATTGAGCAAATCCTTCACATTAAGCAGATGGTGAAACCACAATACAGTTGCAAAATCATAAACTGCTTATAATTCAGTCTTAACCCTTTACTCTTCTGTCCACTGCACCCTACCGTGGTAGATCTTCTCTTAAGCCTGTCTACTTCCTGACTGGGATCCATTGCCAGACTCCGATCTATTTCTGCATGACTGATATAATCGCAGACAAAAGTTTCACCGAGCAGCACTGCCCTCTGCAAAGGTCTTTAGAGTGCGCCCTGTCAACCATACAATGTTACCGCAAACGTTTTTGCATCCTATTATGGTTCTGTTGGTTCTTCTCTTGAACGTCCACTACACCAAGAAATATTTAGACAAGCCGTGACAGGTGTAGCTGAAAAGGTGAATGCTCAACAAATTCTTTTATAGGTCAAGCGTGCTCACACAACACATTTTTCCCAGAGATTGGTTACGGTCTCTGCAAGATTCTTTATATCAGTTTGGGAAAGATTCTCAATCAATCAATCAGGCTTGGTTTACACATTAATTTAGGACTGGACCTGACACCTTATAAAAATGTTTTAATGACGAATCACCTATAATAACTGTGGCTTATTCTGTGGCTGGGAAATTACTTTAACATGGTACGAAAAAACAAAATGTGGAACCAGGCATAAGCAGCAAAGGGAAAAATCCCACAGAGAATATGAGTGAAAGGAGCTCTGCTTTAAAGTAACCAAACAAATGTGTGAAGACCTAAATCAATCTACAAACCGGTTCTCTCTTGCTTGCATTAATAACAAACACATGTCTATTTGTCACACTAGGCCTGATGTCTGACCATCTCATTTTTTCCTTTCTGCTTGGAAACTATAGATGCCCTGCACAGGGCCAGAAAAGACTCATTATTTTTCCACTTCTGATAGAATGAACAAAGAAAAGACACAAAATACTGATCCCTGCCCAATGTCCATTAGTCTGCACCAGGACACTGCTGTGAATATCTGGACCAGCTCTGACTGTAACACAATGCTACCTCTACCTGATCTGGTTAGCGTGTAACCTGATCCTAGATTAGTTGTTCTAATGGGCCGTTTACATACACGGACCTAGATCACAAAAGCATGTAAGAATAAGTTTGACTTACCCTCAGTTTTCAAAGTTGTTCCAGCTTCAATGGGTATCACTAAGAGTGGGAAGATGCCACTGAGTCCGATGGCAATCGATCCCACAAGGGAGTAGAACCAAACATCTAGGTTATCTATGGAGAACAGCTTGTCCAGGTCTAGAAGGTCCTTAATGCACCATGGTCCTGGTCCTGCGGGTGCTGTCTTTGCTTGGGCCACAGCAGTCTGAGCCATCATCTTACCACCGAAGGATGAAGCCAGTAGGGCGGCGCCAAGAAGCAGCATTGCAAATGCCCAAGCAGGCTTCTTGGGTCCTGCGCTCATCAGCCCAGACCTCCGCAAAGCACTTGGAAGAAACATGTAGGGTGCTGTAAGGCAGAGAGGAGCCTTCAACAAAATTTCATGAAGTGGAAAGATTAGTTGAATTTCAATAACGTTTGGGGT